ATATGAAGAAAGAAATGGGTCATTTTCTAAACATTTACTTTGATACAAGAAGGTGCTTATTTGTCATGTCAGCATCAAGCTAATAAATTGTAATATTCTAGTCTCTCTGTTATAAAGATACAGAATAGCCACCCTTGGGAAATATAAGTAACTGAAAACAATGTATTTCAAAAACAGAAAAGCAACCTGATGCAAAACAAAACAAAAAAGGAAAGAAGAGATATGCTCCCGAAGAATAGTGTTTAAAGGACAACAGGGTGAAGTTCTGTAATTTCGATGACCATTAGTCCAAGGAATAAAACAAAATGTAATTCAAACATTCTCCAAATGTTTGGACTATACTGCACAGAAATGAGAAGTGTTCAGGCTGACCAACTGTGGGCAGCTGAGGCAGGACTGAATGTCATAAGTACATCTGAATGTGGAGGTTTTCAAAAGACACATTGAAATAAAATGAGGCCACTGGGGCTGGCAGCAAATTGAATCCTTGCCAAAGGCTGAAAGAAACATTGCATAGCATTAAAAACATATGTCCTTGAAGAAGAAAGACTGACTGGCTCCTTAAAGTCGATTATATTTAAATATGTCGGATACAAATATTCTCATTACCTGATGGGATTCCCATCTTCCATAATCGATTCCCAACCTCCTTTCAGCTTGGCTTCTAAACACTTCCACATTATCCTTTGTGTGGCCCTGCACTATTTTCTTCCCAACTAAGAGATTTAGTTCCTCCTAGAAAAAAAGCAGTTATTTGATTATACTATCTTCCCCAGCAAGATTTTCTGTTAACAGATGCTATTCTATTTGTTACTTATTTTATATTCTTTCTTTTAAATTTTACATCAAGACTCTACAGCAAGCAACTTCCCTTTTCTACCTGGGATTATAATGTAGGCTGTCAAATGCGTGCTAAGTAGAGAATGGAGTGAAATCATCAAAAGTCCAATAGCGCATGATATTGCCTAATACAATGTGAGACAATGAAACGGGAAGATTCTGCTGTCACTGTTGTTGGTTGGCTGGTTGGTTAAAGGTATGGATAAGGACACAGAGACAAAAACACATGAAATGACTCCTTTAACATCATGAAACAAGCCAATTGAAGCAGAACTCAAATCAATGTCTCTCAATTGCCACGGAGCTTTCACTTATTTATTCTGTATGGTGTGATTCACTGTCCAAAGTTGGTAGATTATTCCTACCCTCTGGATATTTTATGAAAAATGTAACGGAAGAGACATCAGAAGGTCTTAACTTCCATTAGCAGATCAAAGTCCTAAAAGAAGGCAATCCAGCATAAAGGAGACAGAATGCTTTGAGGAGTCAAGGCAGCCTTCTAATTCCAGTTCTATCAGGTATGCCACCACGAGCTTCAGGCACCTGGGCTACTTCTCCGGCTTTTTATCACCTAAGCTATTAAAGTCTGTGGCATCTCTCACACATAGAATGTTCACATAGTTGACTGTTCATTGGCTTTGAAATAAAAGGCTAAATTCAAATAGCTGCATGTGCTCATTTTAGGGAGACAATATATGGTATAGTTTTAATACGATTTGTGCAGCAAATGATTTAGATACGGATATATGATCTCAATACACCATAACATATCGCGTACCGTTTTTGTTCTTTCCTCCACTTGAAGTCCCAACTTCTTACACAGCTACTTTACTCAAAAGGCAGCTTTAATGGCTTGATTTGTCTATGTGCGACCAGTGGCATACAGAATGTAGGATAGCTCATTATTCTTTTTGAGTCTTTTAAACCAGGAACTTCTTTGAACAAGTGAAAATGGAAATCTTGCATGGTGAGGTTGGGGTTATAGTGATTTCTTGCTGAAGAAAATGTGGGGGAGTGTGTTGGGATAGGGTGAAACACATCCCTTATCTAGAAAACACAGTTATTACTGAGGGATTCTTCAACTATTAGCAAAATGATGATTTTTTTTTTGGTCCCTTGCATCTTAATCTTATGTCTAAGTTGTTCATGTTTTAGCAGAGTACATTTAGCAAAAATAGCATGAGTATCAGAAACTGAGATACTAGCTGGAGTCAGAAATACTGTAAGTTTTGCAGAAAAAGAATAAGAAAAAAAAAAGAAAGAAAAGGAGGTGGGGTATATTTAGTACTACCACTCCCATGATTTGGGCATGCAATGAATTACTCTGAATATATAAAATAAAACCTACTTTTTCAGCAAAGAGAATTTTAATAATAATAATAGTAAAAACTACAACATGACCACTATATTATCAGTATAATTACCCAATTTTTAAATACTTAAAAGGAATCACTGGCTTGTTTTTTTTTTTTAATTTGCTATTATCATTACTTGAGATGTCACACTCATTGATTTCCCCTATATTATTACAATAGTACAGCCCTTCCTTAAATATGAGACTTCCCTTGAAAGGAGGATCCAATGGCAAGGTTCAGAATAAGAAAATAAACTACAACATGAAGCTCTGACTAATAGCCTATGCATGTAGAGTACTGGAAGATCTAAAAGGTATTTCCCTTATCTCCTTCAGATCAACTAAATTTCCAATAAATTGAAAACCTGTAATACAGAGATTCACATGCAAGACTAGTAAGTCTTCCAACATCTCCACTCTCATCAAGGTCAACACCTTCACACACAGAGAACTCGGTTGATCCTTCAGGATGTGCAATGATTCCTTTTTTCCCCTGGTAGTCCAGAGCCAGTTGATTCTTTTATTTTTGCCAACAATGGTTCCTTTTTGTTTCTCTCCCTCCAACTAGGAAGTGTATCACTGACAGTACAATTCACCTCTTCATGAAGAAGGCAAATGAGCATGTGCCAGATGGGCTGAGGGGATTACAACATGTTTCCTGCTCCGTTGGTGACTCAATGGAGCTGGTATGAGAACTTATCTCATTCAAGAAATCCGCTTCCCTTGGCAGCATTATGAGTCACAGCTCCTGGGAAGAAAGCTCACTTACCAACAGGATTAGAGCAGGGGTGGGGGGGTGAGAATTTCTTGGGCTGATTACAGTAAAGGTCATTCAGAAAGGCAATATAAGCGAAAACCACCAGGGAGGTACCAGCCACCAGTCACTTCTGAGATTTCCATGATCACTTAACAAGATAACACATTATCTCTTCCTATTTCCTCAAGGTCAGGCAGGATGTAAAATCACATTGATGGATTATTGATATGGATTTAAACATTTTTATAAAAGAACTGGTCAAACTTGGGGACAAAAGAAGATAGAAAAGAATTTTAATTCGCCCGGCCAATATAAACGTATTGAGCACCTACTTGGTCTCCATGTGCTAATCACGATTCCAAGGGCTTGGATAATAACAAGTGGACAAAGTTTAGCCCTTGACTTAAAATCAGTGAGGGAGGGGGTAAGTACGAAGGTAAAGGGAGTAGGAAACAGGAAGGAAGGGAAAATGGACAAAAAGTTGGAAGAGACAAGAAGAAAGGGGAGGAGAGGAAAGAGAGGAGTAAAGAAAGAGGTCCAGTCTACTAGCTGGAAATGGTAAGTGTTAGAAACAAAGGTAAAGCAGGATAGAGGGACAGTGAGCCCTTGCAGCATAGCTTTAGCTAAGATGGTCAAAAAAGCATATTATGAGCAAATAACATTCAAATGTATAACTAAAATAAAAACAGACTATAACCAGCATTTAAATGCACCTCATATTTAAGAAAAAATCAACATATTTAAAATCAGGATATTAAATGGCTCACTAAACCAAATGTAATATTCAAGTCAATGGTGGGTTAATATCCATCAGCCTGTAGACCAATGTATCCCAGTAGAATATCAGTCCTGGTTATATGATGACTGTTCCTCTATGAAGCCCCAAAGGGCCATTAAGTTTAGAACTTATCTCTACTTTCAGCACTGAGCTGTACTGTCCTAGTTACACCTTTCCTTTGGTGCTATTTTTGACTTCTAATACAATACTTTCAAGTGTTACAGAAAAACTCAAACACACTCAGAAAAGACGATCAGGATGCTAGGAGGGCTATACTTCATGTCATGTGAATATTAGTTGGAGATGTACATTGTGCAACTCTGGGGTCATAGGTGTCTGATCACTGACTTAACATTTCTGCAGGGCTCTCACATGGAACAGCAACTAAAGCGATGCTATCAAAACAATGGTCTAAGACATCCAAGGGTGTAACACGCGGAAAGCTTTTTAAAATTAATACTCCTTAAATTTCCTGCATTAGACTTAGAGAATCACTACATTATGCATTTTCTGTTTCAGTCAAGCAACTGAACCAAAGAAATATACAGAAACAAGAGACAGATTTTTGTTTTCCATACTAAATTTTTTTCCAGCCATCTGATAAGTCCAAACACATAAAAGTCTGCACGTACGTGATCCCTGCTCAGAGGCAAGCAAAGTTTCTCTGACCAGTAATTGTGACAATGAGAGAAGCCTCAAAAGATGAACTTTCTAATACCAAATGCATTTCACCTCCAATTTCAGACGATTCAGGTACATGATGGCTGAATTTAAATATTCAAATCCAATAAAAGTCTTCCCTATCCACATTCATGAAGCAACTCCAAAAAGTCTGAAGAAAACAGTGCTTCTTTTCTTGCATTTAACCAGTATGAGCAAAAACATTTTTTAAATGCCTCAATGGACTTTTACTCCTTAGGCTAATTTCACCAGGTGCTTAAACTTGGAAATGACAGCAATGCCTTTTCTTCTCCCAAAGACCATGAAAAGAGGACAGAAACAGCATTCTTGCTGGCTTAGGTGCCACGGCTATGAATATACACTGTTTTCATAAACACCAGAGCACATCTCCAGGTACAGTGCAAGCCTTGAGGACCTCAGATATATCCATATAACCTTCCATCACCAAGGTTTTATGATTCCATTAGACATCTAATTTTGCACAACGACAACAGGAAAAATATATTTAAGGAATACTATGTTCTTTTAAATTCATTCTGTGAATTTCCTAATATATGACTTGCATTGTAAGAGATCATCAGATCACCTACCTGAGGCATCACTTTGCAGGATCCCACAGAAACAGAGACTCATCACACACCACAGAAGTCTCATCCTGTTGACATAAGCATAATGGTGAGCTTAGGGGAGTACTTGAAATTATTAACTGCATAAATAGCAATAGCTTGTACACACGAATTCTGAGCACAAGACCAGGAACTTTTTTATGATATTAAGCATAATTATCAAGAACACAGGCTTTGCTTTGTTCTGCTATTCGTTTTTAACTTCCTTGATATATAAGATGAAGGAAGCTGAACAATTTTTAAATAATATAACAAATATTCTTTAGCTAGAAAGTACTGGACTCATGATAAGTCTGCAGGTATCAGTTAGCAAACATCCGTCTAAAGTTTTTCAACAGGAGATAATTCTCTGACAGAAAAATCTGACCTTGCTACTCTTCATAATTGTTTGGTCTGTTCCAAATTGGAACCATTTCATGATTCAGGTAATTTTCCATCTTAGTGATGAGTAAAAAGAGTAGAAATCCTTAATTCAGTTAGTCTGAATTCATATGAACGGAAAGGACAGACAAGTCTTGCCTGCTGCTCTCACTCTCCTCATCTCACTGAAAAAGACAAATAATGTGGCAGGCACACAATTCCATGAACTTTAACTTTTCTATTGATACACAGTTACAACTGCCAACTGCTAAGACTCACACTTTTGCATTTAGTTGTGTTATTTTGAAAGCAGAAGTCCTATAGGTTTAACAACTGTGTTGTTATTCTTTCTAGGGACATATGTGGTCAGTGATGATTTCTCTGTAGTGTAATAAGTAAAACCTGGAGGTGAGCAGGAAATGCAATGCTCTATATCTCTGCTTCCTGTCTTAAACATAGCAGCCATATATGGAGGCTTACAGAGGTCTTAGTAACATGCTCAGATCATATTTCTCTTAAATAACCCAAGTGAGATTTATAACCACATCAGGCTAACTACAAAGTCTATTATCCCAAACAGTCTGTGTCACAAATTTCATATCCACAGACCCATCAGCCAAAAACAACAAAAAAGCCAGAAATACATAAAATACATCCTGCACTCAAATAATGTCAATTAAAATAGGTCACCTTAAAAGTGCTACATTTAATCAAATGCTATTGTTGTTGCCCAAGCAATCAAATATATGTGGTCATACTAAAGGATATGAAAAGTTTTCAGAGTCTGTCACTTCACTTTTTCAGTATTTTCACATTTTAAAAGTGTGTACATTTGTAGAGCACCATGTGATGTTTTAAAACACAAATACATGAACAATAATCAATTGGAATAAATATATTTCCTCAAATATTTAACACTTAAAATGCATCTCCCTTGACCACACATCACCCAAATCTCTGGTTCGTGTCATGCTCCTTGCTTCAGAATGGCTATAAACAAACCACAGGTGAGCTGCTCTATTACAAACAAGGGTTTATGTCACATATTAAATGACTCCTTGTTTTCACTGCCACACTGTTCTCATTCACATACATTATTTCCTTCGTCATTCATTCATGTATTCATAAAGCACCCACTGAACATTTTCTGTTTATGAGTGACAGAGATGTAACTGCAGGGGCCTATGTTAAGAAGATGCAGGACCTTCACTAAAGCGCTTCTCTTCAGTAGGGATTAAATCCTATGCACACCTCTTTACAGTCACCAACTATGTATAAGGTATACACAAGGAGGGAAGCTTAGGAGATGTGATCGTTAATCTGACAGCAGTTCTGGGACTGGGCAAAGTCTAGCAGGGACTTACATGTGTATAGAGAAAATAATGGCAATCCAAAGCAAAAAGTGGTGAAAATAGAGAACAACAGATAAGCATTACTGTGAAGAATAGCAAAGGCAAGAGCTTACTCCAGGCAAGCTATCAAAGCAGACAAAAGGAAAGTGGTGAGTTTTGAATTGAACAAGAACTGATTTAGATGTTTACAATGGAAATTGGGTAAAAGAAATCTTTGATGGAGAACAGTGTTCAAAGATAATGATAGGAAGGAACACAGATAGGAAATTGACTATAAATAATTCAGTCTTGCTCAAGCACAGAATATTACAACTGCAGAAGATTTAGTTGGAAAGAAAAGTGTTGGGATCAGACTATGGCAAGGCACTGATTAACCATCTAAGCATTTGTAGTTTAGCTTAAATACCAAATAGCGAAACACTGGAGTTTTCTTATTTTTGTGACGATATAACTATCAAGGAATGGCTTTTTGAAATCACTTTACCACACAAAATAGATGCGTTGCCAGTAAATTCTGTCTTGAAGATGTTTTAGCTCCCAAGACTGCCATGACAATTATTGCTATCCCTCTGACTTTGTGTCTTACGCAAACTTGATCAGCATGCTACCTATGTCTTCATCTAAGTCATTAATAAAATAATTAATAATCCTGCATTAATCCTTGTCATCAAGAGTAATGAGAGAATTCACTGCAATTCAATACAAAGAAATTTTAGCTTCAGTACTCCTCTATATCGAAGCACTCAGGCCACCCAACTTGATTTGGCTATTAAAAAACACATGCACACACGCAGCTCTAGATTTTCCCAATTTGCCTGTTTATGAGCTGTTGAAATCCTAAGGCAACACTTCGAAGACATTCTAATTAGTGTGATTGAGGACTTTAATTAATATTCCTCAAAGTAACTGGATTATGCCAGAGGCAGTCAAGAGTCAGGTCACCCAGGTAGAGCTAATCTGAAGATGACCTATGTGCAAATACAGGTCCAGGTTCATTCTTACCCCGTGATGGATTAGAATAAAGCACACTGAAAAGAAAGTGAGATGGTGCAGGCTGTTTTTGGCAAAATGAAGATCCCAAGTTTAGCAGGAGGCAGTTAGCAGGTCTGAAAACGCACCAAGATTTCTAGATCATTTATTATCATCTTGTACCCAAACCTACAATTGTATTACTGTAAATATTAACACATTCTGCGTCCCTTTTTCTTAGCTTAACTGGACGCTGGCCAGAGATGTAGAAACAGCCAGAAAGCAAAGGAACACACTGACTAATGCATGACCTCCCAGTTTCTGAATTACAGTTTAGGTGATGGTATCTAACAGACACTGCACTTGCATCAGATGACTGGAAACTGCATAAAATAAATTTCCAGTCAGCCTTTACAGCACTATTTTTTCTATTTGCCGTATAATCATTTTCATATCTCTCCCCTTATGTATTGGTATTTTCTCTTGTATGTACCACCACTGTTTTGCAAATATCTATTTGGATGCCAATATCATCTTGCAAATATTTTTTATGTATTAAATTCTATGTAATTAATTAACAACAATGTTAAGGATAAATATGACCGTGCATCCAAAATGCGGATGTCTAACTCTGAGACTCAAGCTTTCTATTCTCTGGATTGCCCACTTGATTATCTCCAACATCTCCTTATTTTGAGTCACGGTGACCACTGCATTCTCTCAAGGGACCAGGAAGTGACAGACCGCAGCAGGGTATGCTGCCCAAATACAGAATCTCCATTTGCACAGCCATGTTCTTCACATCAGCATTTCAACAGGTCACAAAACTTTTTTTCCACCTCAGTTCCTCAGTTCCACACTGAGCTCCACTGATAGCGACTCCATCAAGCTGATCAGCCAACCTGAGGCTTTTAACAGGTCTTGCTTTAAGTTGGATAACCTTGCTACAACAGTGAAGTTATTACCTCTTCTTTGTTACTGCTTCATTTCTGCCACAATCACATATGTCCTTTCCTATGACTGATCCACTGAAAACTGGGCTGAGTACACCTTGACACAAACTCTCACCAACAACATACACGAGGGAACAGCCTGCTGCCAAATCCCTCCCTAGCTTCCCGGTACCACCAGATTCCTCCATTTCCATTTTCCAAATAGCAAGATATTTCAGGAGATCTTGCCTGTGTGTTGCTTTCAGACCAGTTAGTAAGCAAGTCTTAGAAGAATATGGCACTCTTCCATTTAACAAATAACGATGTGATGTTTAAGTCAGGAAGGTTTTAAAAATTCTTCATCTTGTGCTTTTTGAATCATAAGATGATCCTTCTGCTTATCTTTATCTTACTACTGCTCCTTTCTTTTTCTAGATATTTTAGGTTGGGGTGAGGGAGATAGGAAAGAAAACCTTACCAACTGAGCACAGTCAAGATGGTTGGCTACTGATTACAGAAGTAAAGGGCCAACATGCAATCTCTAAAAACAGATATTACGTGACAGATGTGGACTGATATCACAAAACTAGTAACTGCCAAACCCAAACTTAAATGAAATGGACAATCTGAATAGTCCCATGACTCTTCAAGAAACTGAAATAAATTCACCTCTAGAGCCTACAGAAGGGGCACAGACTTACTGACACCTTGGATATGGCCTCATAAAACCCTAAACAAGGATTCACAAGGTCACACTGTCCTTGAACTTCTGACCCAGAAAATGTCTTTGTTGTTGTTGTTGAGATTTATCTTATTATTATTGAAAAGCAAAATTATAGAGAGAAAGAGAGAGAGATTTTCCATCTGCTGGTTGACTCCTCAAATCGCTGCAATGATCAAAACAAAGCTGATCCAAAACCAGATGCCAGGAGCTTTTTATGGGTCTACCATGTGGATTCCATACATGCAGGGATCCTGGAATTGGACCATCCTGCACTGCTTTTCCAGTTCAGTAACATGCAGCTAGATTGGAAGCGGAGCAGCCTGGACTAAAACCTATGTCCCTCTGGGATTCCAGAAGCACAACAGATTGAAGCTTAGCCTACTATGCCATGGCACTGGCCCCCAAAGTGCTAGTTTTTATACAACCAAATTGTGGGTAGTTTGCTTCAATCCTAAGAGAAACTAATACATGAAGTACACCATATGCACGAATTGAGAAACTCAACATAGGAGAAATGTCAAACCTCCATGATTGACCTACAGTGTTAGTTAACTCATATTTTAAAAAGTCAGCAAGACATTTTTGATGCAGAAAAAAACAATTGCTGAATTTACATGCAAAAAGGTCTAAATGTTGAGAACAATTTTTAACCACAAATTTATTTTAAAGTTATGGCAGACAGCTTACCCAAA